AGTGGCAGTGTGTTGACAAGGAAGCAGAATGATAAAAGCAATTAAGTTTTTAGGCTGAGAAAACCAGAAACTTTATATTCAAGTCAGTTACTTTGTATCTATAACTGCCTAAAAATAAATGGTTGTATAGATTGAATAATGAAGTTAAATGTTATGCTGCAGGTAGAATTGCATGGAGAAAGACAAGTTAATGAAGATGCTTCCAGTACTGTATTTGCTTGCCTTGATGCTGAGGAGACAATCACATCAGTGACTGATCTCACAGTTGCTGCAGACAGGTAATGTGATACTTCACTTGCTTATTAACTGGTGAAGATAATGCATTTCTGAGTTTTTTTTTCTTCATATTTTCCATGTCTGCACTTTACTTCAAGACCATTTAGATTCATAACGTAAAAATGTTAGAATGCTTATAATTTTTTATATATGTAATTGTGATATAACTTTATTACAGCATCACATATTTAAAATGGTTGGGCACTGGATACATTAATTTGTCATTTTTAATAGGGAATGAAATTCTCTTTATTTTGTTGTACATCTGTACTAGGATGGCATGAAGCATAAGAATCTATGCTCTAGAATGGTGGTTTTCAATGTGGCAATAGGGTCATTGATTGTTTCAAGGGGGTATTAAACTAAGCTCTGTGAGAACATTTGATGAATATAATGCTCATAGTTTGAGAAAATTTGTTTGAAGTAATCCACTAATAAGGTTAATTATAATTGGTAGGACTGTTGAACCTTACTCCCCACCTGTACAAGGGAAGGGAACTGTCCTGAACGTATCTACAGGGGAAGACTGGTCCACATCCGGGCCAGCCTCAGGACCTCGTGCCTCTTCAGCTGCCCTTACCTGGGATGTCTTTCCATCCACCTTGACCATCCCTGCCTCTGACACATCAAGCCACACATTGTTTGTTGTTAACTTTAGCAATACAAGACAAATGTTTGAGGTAGTATACAGTTTGGTAATGGATGTTATGAAGTAATAATGATATTAGTAAATGTTATATGTATCAATTTATATAATATGAAACCGTATTCTGTTATTTTCATTTATTGATTCTTTGACAGGTAACTTCAGCTAGTAAGTGGCTCCATATTGAACCAAGAGAAGCCATTCTACCAAGCCTTAGTTCAGTTCGTGTTAACATCAAGCTTGTTCGTTCTGGTCTACCTCAGCCTCTTGTTAACCCTTTAACTCAGTCCCTTCAGGTTAGTTTGCAAATTTCAAGATTCTTAACCTGTTACTCATTTCACTTCTTGAGGGTAATCAGGTGCTTTCTCGTAAAGAAATTTTAATAATTAAAACTGGTAATGGATACTATTTTATTGTAGATGGAAAAATAATCAAAGATGAAAAAGTAAAATATCATGTTGTACTTCTGGCTCTTTTCCATAATATTGTCAGTATTCCACTTGCACCTAATCTTATGTTTTGCTAACCTTAACAAGGTTCAGATGGATATAAATGGATCTATGCTCTCCAGAGTAGGCTTCTCATTAAGTTTGATCTTAGAAGATTAATCTCGTAATACATGCTAACTCTAGTTTGAGTACCATCTGCTGGTATGTTAATGAAATTTTTAATATGCTGGAACTGAAGATATTTTTCCACAGGTTATGTGTGAAAATGAGTGTCACAGAGCTAGAGTAACAGTTCTTCCTGATGGCGATGGAAACAGCACTGGTCATGGTAAGGCAGCCCCATCAGGAGCTACTGCAGTGGCAAGTAAACAACAGATGCCAGATCCACATTCAGACGAATACAGTGGAAATAAGTTGCCTGTTCCTGACACTGAAGAGAAATCAACAAATGAGAAATCTCTTACCACTGTAGAGCAAATCAGTTCAGGGTAAGTTACAAGTACACTCCTAATACATACACTGAAGTTGTTGCAAAAATATGTTTGTAATGATGGGTCTATAGACAGGTATACTTATTTCACCAAATATATCAGGCTGACTGATACACATTTGCTTATATTGTATAACCTCTGACATGTACTCATATTCATTGATATATCGCTGTTCAGATATCGGAGGAAATCAGCTTCAGCCAGTAGTGTTAACAGAGCTGCAGTGATAAAAAGGACTAGCAGCAGTAATAAGTTCCAGAATGATAATATCCAAGAAAGAAGCTCGGTGAAGAGTATGGTGGAAGTTGTGTCAAGCTCCATTGTCTTCCCTGACACAAAAAATTCAGAAGAAAATTTTGTGAAAGTGAAATTGAGAAACCATGACAGTGTAGTGCATACTGTGAGTATTTATTTGATTTGATTATGAGTAGAAGTAGAAAAGATTTACAGATTTTTTTCTTTCTCATTAAACTAAATTTTATACATGAAATGCTTAGGTTGGTATGTTGCATGTAAACCTGTAAGGAGCTAAATGATAATACTTGTGTGAAATTTTAGTTGGTATTACTTACTAGTGTCATATCCTTGATTTTCTTTTCTTTTTCTTACTTGAGGATAACTTTTTAAAGGAAAAATTAAATGTTATTGAAAGTACACATTTATATAATGTATATTTACCTGTATAGAGTATAATTTCAGAATATATTGATTATTATACTAGAATATTTATGTATTGTTTTTGTTCTGCATATGAATAAACCATGTAATATGAATTTATATAAAAAATTTTAATTGCAGGTAAGAGCTGAAGTTACAAAAGCACCATTTGCAGTCCGCCACAAACAATTTCAGGTTAAGGCTGGTCACTACGTCAGTGTACCTGTTTATTTCAGACCACAAACACTGGGTTTCTTCACAGGACAGCTGAACCTGAATGTTATTGAGGAGCAAGTGTTACACACTGTTCAGCTTTCAGGCAAAGCAGTGTGATTTTGCTCTTTTTATAAAAAAATTTCAGTTAAGAATTCCAAGTCAGAAGCATCCATTAATTTTGGAATTTTACTTTTATAATCTGTTTCTGGGCAAAGGTCCCATGCTTGCTAGTAAAACCTGCACAGGTATGTTACAGAGCCTTTTCAGTTACTTATTGATACTGTGATAATAAAATAGATACTGATAAGGATATTTAAAGCAAGGCTGTGGATATTGGTAGCTGTAGTGTTAAGGCAAGGATCATGTATCTTTTGTATTGTGTATATCCTTTTTTTGCCACTATTATTGCAACATAATAATGCCACTATAATTTTATGCTTTCTGGTTTATTATTCTTTAATATTTTCATTGTTGATAGATAAAATATAAGGATTGTCATAAAAAAAATCAGATATATTATTACACTTCAGTTTATATGTGCCATTTTGTAATTTTTACCATGATTAACATATTCAATAAACATTATATCCATTTTTATTTTTCCTCTGCCTTGCTGAAAAGATGAAAATTGATTGAGAGGCACAGAGAGAATTGGTCATAAATTTTTCTGGTGGATAGTAATACTTTTTTCTCAAACTTTATCATCACAATAAAAAGACTTGACCTCATGGAAAGTCAGTAAGTAAATCTATAAATCAAACGTGTCCGGGATGGCTGTGCAAGAGCTTAGACATTGTGACCTCACCTGATTTTATCTCCTTGAGTTTGTGGGAAAACCCTTTTATTTTTTTATTAATGCCTTTAATATTGATGCTGTTATTCTTACTATAGACATTATAATTATTATAGTGTTATTGCCATTACTAACAGCATTATAAGATATCAGAAAATATTTTCAGAAATCAAGGAAAATGGTAAACAAGTGAGACAGGTAGTACTCGTAATTGGCTCATTGGTGACTTATTACTTGTGGAGTCATCTATATGTAAGAACAATTAATAAATTAAACTCTCAGTGGGCATGGCATGTATGTACATGCCATCCCCCCAGTGGCTCCTTTCATTATTATTTTCATTACTTGTTAATGGGTATACTGTTTTTTATCTATATATAAATTGTGCTAAAGGAAGTGACACGAGCAAGAGATGTTATATCATTTAGGTAAATAGATGCTAATTTCCTGAGATTTCTTCAGTATGAGATATCTCTGTAGTTTGTTTCACTGGGGAAGATATGCTCAAATGGTTCCTGAGTTCCTGAGCACCATCCATCTCTCCTTTAACAACAGAATGAAACTTAGCCAACTACAATATAAAACAATTTCTGTGAAATGCCCCAATTTTACCAAAGGCATAGCCAAACCTCCTGTCTGAGCCACTGTAAACTTGTTTCACAAGAGCTGACCCTCTGGCCACTGGATAGCCTGATTGAAGAGATTCAAATGTCAAAACCCTCTGAATAGAAGGAAGAAAATTTCATTTCCTGGTTCATATTTATCTGCCAGAACACCAGCCATACAATGAAGAGGTAAAATATCAAATGCTAGTAAAATAGTCTCTCAGACACTACTAAACTTTAGAACACATTACAAAAGTGTATAGTTATAGAAAATAGGGAATAAAATAAAAATTGTGGATAGATGTAAAAGACAAATTTAATCTATGTATTTAAAATTTTATAATGAGAATGAGAAGGGAAAGGGACTAGAGGAAATAATTTATAATTCAGCCAAATGATATTTGAGCCAATTATATTGCTCTTATTCATTACAAATTATTATTTATAAGAAATATAAATGCTCTTTTCTGTCCTTTGAAAAAATAAATATAAAAGTTTGAAGATTTTACCTAACTTCTTAATCAATAAAGAAAATAATCTAAGACAACCATGTACTGACATCAGTATGAACTAGAATTTATCACAGTTAAATGGTCATGTAAAGATTTGGAATGTCTCATAAGTAATTGCTAGTATTATAGCAATATAGCATATCAGTCTATTTTATCCCCATGACACTGGATGCCATGGCTATTGTGGACAAAGTAGCAGGTGGCATTATATCACGACCTTTCCCAAGCCGTTGGATCATCAGATAGATCTTGTTTTTCTCTACTAGTAGCCGCATCATTTCTATGGTTAAACTTTAAGGCAATATACCTAAAGTAAAGGGAACTCCACTTTTTAAGGTTATTTTAAACATCAAAATATAAGCTTTTAGGTACCTAACATTGCCCATAAACTACCAAACAAGTCAGGCAGTAACAAGGGAAACTGTTGATGTGTGCCAACAATCCTGATTTGATGTCCACTTGCCTATTTTTTTACCCAGGGTTATTGGGTTACCACTTTCAAAATCCAGTAACTTCACTCTTTAACTCTACATGAATTTAGAAAGAGGCACACTGGTGATATCAAATCTTGGCTGTTCAATGATTAAAGTAAATGTATTAAATTATCAACATTAAAGCATCTCTCTTGATTGGAGGTGTGCACTTCATTTTCACTGAAAGGATACAAGCTTAAAAAGTATTATCTCTTCAGCTAGAATAATTACACAACTAATTATAACTAGTCTGAAAGAGGCTATATTTTAGAAAGTTGTTGTAATATCTTAATATAATTCACCTGAATATAAGAGTATAAGTGTAATCATATAAGAATAATCAACCATAAATATAAAATTTTACCGTATAAATATTAATATGTTGAGGCATATAAAAGATCATACCCATCAACACTTATTTGGATTTACTTATCATATTAACAGAGATGTTAACCTTACAATTTGCCCATAATTAATAAAATTTTAACTCTTTTAATTAGGATTTTTAAGAAAAAATGTTCATTTATTAAAATCCTGATATCTGATTGTCTTCACTACTATAAAAAGGCTCGCCAGTCTTGTACAACCAACCCAATTACTGGCAGCCTTGCCCACTACAATACTGTGTATATACCGAATGCATTGAGATTTGGATTGAGCGAGACTGCATTGCAAATTGTGATCACCTCACTGCACTGTACATGAATGTTCATTACCAAGTCTGTGCCAATTTTTTTCTTACTTATGCTGTTTTAGAGTGTGGATATGAGTAAAAAGTAAAGTAAAAAAAAAGTAAAAAAAAAAAAAAAAAAAAAAAGTTTGTGAATTTGCTGAGAAGAGAAAAGTAATCCAGATCTGATATTTTTTATGTTTTCTTGTTGAAAAGATAATATTTGTCAAAATATTGCCATATACAGTTCATTATGGGTAAGTACCACCAAATTACCGAAAATCTACAAATTTTTTGAAAAAATTACTGATGGGCTAGATTTCGGGTAAGCATCTCTGTAATAAGAATCCAATTTGTAAAACTTTAAAGCCATGTCTAAAGAGCAGGCATGGCCAAAGAGTGATGTCAAAGGCAGGCAAAATACTGGTTACACTAATTTAAGAGTGGAATGAGTTTAACTGGTAGTTTGCCTGCCTCTGACATCACTTTTCTGGCATGCCTGCCAATCTTGTCTTCCCACCTGGACATGCCTTAAGAAATCCTTTTTATAATACAAAATACTCATGATATAATATAATCCTTTATATACTTATTTGTGTGGAATATCAGACAAAGTATCCTTAATTATGTTGTGCAGTTCAAATTTCTTCCTTGAGCACAGGCCAGCATAGTCATCAGAATTAAGGTCAAAGGTCATCACCCCAGCCACACCTGAAGTCTTGACCCATTCAGCCTGTAGGATGGAAGTTATTACTGATTATAACTTATAAATAACCTATCAATCTATAAATATTCTAATATATAACAAAGTGTAAACAGTCTACAATTTGGGCTGACTTTATGACAATGATAAAGATAATGAATAACATCGTGCTTCTGAAAAAAAAAGTTATAATATGAAAGTTGGTGACCCCTGACAATCATCACTGAATACAGCCAGAAGGTTCATACCTCACCTTGGCTCTGATACTTGCAGGATTTTCATAAGAGACCCAATCTCTTCCTCTGACAGCATATGGCACTTTACTCTCATCATCAAAATAAGCTGTTGCTCCCTCTTTCACAAAGATGCATGCTTCTGTGTAAGTAAGAGATCCTCCCAACATTCCAGTCCCAACTGCTGGAGCTCCAACATTATGCCATGCACCGCTCAGCAGCCTGTCAACAGAAAGTTTTAACCCTTTTCACCTTTTGCAAAAGTATTAATGCTCAGAAAGCTCATTTTTTGTTGTACAATTACTTTATGTTCCTCTCAGTTAGACTATTATTAATTGTTCATTTCAGATGCTGTAACACCTTTTTCAATCTGACATAAAGAAAAATACTGGTATATCCTTGCACTCATTCAGTCTCAAAGAGCCTAACAGAAATTACTTCCTCACCTCCATGTGCGTCCATAAGTGGGTATACCAACCATCAACTTTTCTTTAGGCATTCCCTTTTGCAGCCAATACTGGGTTGCCCATTCAATATTCAGCGTGGAAAAGTATCCAATCTCATCATGCCGTTCTGCCAGGGGAGCGTTGTGACCAGTGAAGGGTAAGTATGACTGATACATGTGGTAGTCATAGCCCATAATGGACACAAAATCTACATATCTGTAAATGAACAGATGCAATTACATTTACATCATGAGGAGGAATAATATACAAATGTTTCTAAGAAATGCTGAATTACTGATATTGTTGACAGACTTAATTCATCGGCAGCAGATAAAAGTACAGTTCACAACAGTTTTTTTGTAAATTTTGTTGTACACAGAAGGCTCAGTAAATATTCAGCCAACAAGGAGTCTAGTGACACTGCCTGATTTCCCCATTCCTTGAGGGATTTATGTTTTTTTAATGCTATTAATATCACTAATGTTATTAGTATTACTATTAAATTACTAATAACAATAAAAGATTTAAGATTTTTTTTGTGTGTGAAAGTCAAGGGAAAGGGTAAACTTGCAAATAGGTAGGACTACCAACAGTCTCTTTGGTGACTAAGCACATGTGAAGCCATCTGTGTAAATACAACAGATAAATTAAAATTACAATGGCCATGGCATTATGTCATGCCATCTATGACCAGTCCGTTAACAATTTCACTTTGTCTATTTTCAATTTAACAAGAATGTCTTCCAAAAGTTATGTATATTTGACTTAAAAAGTTTCCAAAACTGAAATTCTGTACATGTAATTTTTATTTATGCAATATTGTTATTATCACTATTAAAATCTTTAGCAATATTTACATTCCTATTACTATATCTATTCCTATTGCATTACTATTATTAATAAAGGTGAAACTGCAACTTCTACAGTAAGCATTACTACTGGAAAAAAAAAAAAAAAAAACATCATAATAATAGTATACAGAAATTCTCATATTTAAGAGCAGGGTTCCACAATACCTTCAAGAAGATGTGAAAATTTTTGTTTATTACAATATTTCTTTACTTAGTTTCAAATTTGATTCTGTAACATGCTGCCATAAAAAAACAGGAAATATTAGTAAAGTAAGTATGTAAAGGAATACAACTATGAACATAAATACACATACCTTGAAAAAGTCTCCTTGCTTTTCACTACTCCATCTCCTTAAAGCCACAACATTGTTTTTATAACAATTATCATATATCACACTGCCTTATTATCATTATTATTATTACTATTATTACTATTATTATTATTATCATCATTATTGTTTCATTATATTATTATCATTATTGTTACTCTCATCATAATCACAATCATTACTATTATAATGTTTTTTGTTCTTATTTTTATCTGTTGTTGTTTTGGTTGTTATTATTATCATTATTACTATTGTTATTATTACTTCTGTTATTATTATTATTATTATTTAATTATTATTATTATTATCATTATTACCATTATAATTATTATTACCATTATGATTAATATTGATATAATTATCATTGTCATTATTATTATTGTTGCTGTTATTGTTGTTGTTATTATTACAATCATCATAAATTATTATCATTATATTTATAAAATTGTTGTGTCTTAGTTATTCAATAACAAACAGAGCTATGAACCAATGGCAGCAATGAATATTACTATCACCAAAAATATATCTTCTTTGAGGCAAAATAATCCAATTTACTAATCTTATGCCCATTACTGGTACATAGAAAAAATGCATACACAAATCCCCATTACCTATGGTAGAGGATGAAGATCCATACTTTTAACATTACAGGTATGAGCTACTTATGAGATCAATCACACAATCGGAACATAAATTCAGGTTATATTGCATATCAAGAAACACCATTTCAGATTCCAAAAATTATCTCCCTACTTCTACAACATTAATGTACCATCACGAACAATGTATTAAAATCAGAGAATCAAATCTTACTTTGCCAGTTGGTCAACCTCGTAGCAATGATCCACAATGGGTTTTGGAGTACCTACAGCTATGCTTAGGAGGAAAGAAGGATGTGCAGCCAACTGGAATGACAAAAAAGCACTACTCTCAAACTCTCATTAGTTTGCATGTGTGTGTTTGTATTAGTATGTGTATATATATTTTTTTTCTTTCTTTTTTATCATTTTGTAAAACAAGTTACTAAAAAAATAAAATATGTAAACACATGTCAACACAAATATACCTTGAGAGCATTATTTAGCTGAAGGACAAAGTATGTAAACCATTTCTTTTCCAAAACATTCTTCTTCCATGCTGGCCAGGCAGGGAACTCCCAGTCTAGGTCAATACCATCTAAATTATAATTTATCAAAAACTGCTGTGCATTGTAGGCAAAACTGTTGGAGGAAATTTAAAACAAAATCATTAATTTGCTGGAATATACAATAGATACCCAAATATGTAAACAATAGGAGAATTAGATCTCTCAAAGTATTTTTTCCCAAATACTACAGCTTCAATAATACTGCTTTCCATTATTAATGTTCATGTTATTCCAAGTAAATATGAACTATGAATACTACTTACACAGCTACAGAGGTAGGATCTCTCACCAACTCTGAGAGTCTCCTCCTAAACACAGCAAGACACGCAGACTGGGATTTACTTCTTTAAGTGCCACTACTTCAGCAAATACCTGAAATACAGTTGTAAATGCCCTTGCCATACCAACGTGACATATGCTCTGGCTCCTGGAAATATCTAAATTTTTTTCCCAACCACTAGCCATACCTTATTGCATGGTATTTACATTTGCATATTCTACTA